GCTCTCATAAAACATGTTTTTTTAGTTCCTTCGAAAGCACCTGCGAATTACTGTTTTAATAGTTTCAATTTTCCGAGGATGGTCGACTTATTTTCACTGAAACTTTTTTATTAACAGGCGATCCACGTTTGCAGCAAACGGTTGCAACGCGATCCGCAAATTGTTCCACGTTTGCAGTTGCAGTTCAATTACACAGATAGCCGAGATGACAGAAGTCAAACTTCCCATCTGGACCGTTCCCTCTTCATTTCCTGCTGGCCAAACACGACAAACGAAAGTTTTCGCTTGTGAACTTTATGGCTGGTTTCCGAAATCCCTGCGTGATTTTACGATTCTTGGCGATAGCGAGCGAACATGTTGCCATTTACACTACCGCTTAGAAATTTTATTACTCGCTAGGCGAGAACAATGCCGAAAGCACTGTGCTATGAAGCGTTAAATACTTCTGCATATTATACGTATCCATTAATTACTGCTTTCACGCGATGCATCATTCCCCTAATACCTCATTGAACATGTCATTAACTACATAGTTCCAATTTTGAAGTTTCAAACAATTTATGAAAATCCGTAACTGTGACAGGATTCTGATATCAATTTAGGGGTGCAAAGGAACGATACAGCTTGATAATATTATACTTATGATCATTGTTTGAAGTTGAAAAGTACGTATACAGCGAAACTATTAAGATTAAAAAATTTCCGAAAATAGGCTAAATTTATATTTTAAGAAGTATTTAAAAAACAAATATCTTATGTATTGGTATATGAAAATCTAGTATCACTTCTAATGAAGTGTATTATTAGTTATACAAATTTTACGACACATAAAATAACGTTATATTTTATAAACAAATATGGTGAAACTTGAATTTTCGTTTCGTATATGTCGGATTAAAAATAAAAATTGACCGCAACGTTTCGACAAAATTTTCCGCAACCGCTTTCATCGGGGCGAACATTAACGATTACTCCTGTAAATGTAGTAAAATGCTCAAACTACCGAATTTCTGTAACATAATCCCCCGAGGCTGAGTATTGGAGTCCCAATAGGATACGCATACAAGCAGTCCTTCGATATCGGTCTACACTTCAGTTTATGACTTTCAATAAACCCAAATAAAATACGGGTCTTCCATAAATGGAGTTATAATACCTACAACTAAAATTGTGCAACTTGTATTACTTGACAGAAATGAAAGTAATTTATTGAACCAGGAAACACTTAAAAATATACAGTTTCCACTGTTATTTCGCATGAACTTCGAATAGCCATGGAAACTTAATTAAAGACGCAACGTTAACAATTTAATGACAATCGTAACTTCAATAGAACGGACATAAAAGTAGTCGCTTTTAAATAAAATCTGACAAACGTTTATATATCATTTAGTTCACGCTTCTATAAGAAATAAATTATATTATTAATAAATACTATTATTTATAATAATGAATACTATCATTTATTAGCAATATAACATAAATATCATTAAAATATACAATAAAACGAATCTATTCTTCGAAATCTATTCTCAAACATAGTCATTTGACAATACAAACCCGTCCACAACATTCTAAATGCTAACAATGCGCAGATCTGCTCGATGCAATGAATGTCGCCAACACCTTACGCAGCATATACATGATTAATTCTAAATCCCATTTCCAGAACAGCGTTGTTCACTCTACAATCCCAAACAGTGTCACTACTAGACACACCTAGAGAACAATATACAACTTCAACCATTCAGAATAATTTCCTTGAAATCGCCACCGGTTCCGCGCAGAGAGGCTTGATCTTTATATGACGGCGAGACTTCGTCGAATTCCTTGATGCAACTTGACTTTCTGATTTCTCGGCCTTTCTCCAGCTCATACCCATAGACGCAGACCCTCTTTATGCAACCCTCGGAGTTTCTCAATCTTCCTATATTCACGCCTTACAGCCGTCTCGTCCCTGTGCTTATACACTTCTATATTATTCTTATAAGAGATGGCAAGATGCAGACAACAGCTCAGCCTTTCTTATTACATTAGATCGTTTACGTGTGTAGTATGCTTCTCAGAAGTTGGCCGACTATGTTGGACGATGTAAGCTCATGTCTAAAGTCTAGACTACACGAGCATTTTAGACGCCACTGAAATGTAAACTGTATGTATTTCAGTGCAACTGAACAAGTTCAACACCGTGAAATACACTGTTATACGCTGTCGAGGTGCCACTTGTCGCGTGTATCGCGCGGAGAAAACAAAACATGTTGATAATACAACATGTTATTTATTATTTATAATACTTAGCGTGCGATACACTTGTAAAACGCTGGTCAAAATTCTATGTCAACGGAGAAATCACAGCGTGTTACACTCCATAGTATAGCTGTTACGTCTTGAGGAATGTCCAAGAAGCTAAAAGTGTAGAGGGGCAAGGGGAAGACTAAAGCATAAATTCGTGATGATCGAATCCGCAGTTAAAGCAACTTTTTTTAAAATCATGCTTTACGCATCGATGACCGACGCTTCTGAATTGCTTGAAAAAAAATACAATATGCAAGATGACTGTTGTCGGCTAAAAATATTTAATAATATAAATAAGTTAACAACAGTGTCATGTAATAATTGTGATGCCAAATAATTAATAATTGTTCCTATTTACCTTCGCTACGAAGAAACAAATCACGTATAGAACGTTCAAGATCCTCGTGGCGCTTAGCGTACAACCATCGTTTCTGTTACACTATTTAGCTATAGTGTACTTGATTAACTGAGAATTAAGTCTCCCAACAGTACCTGCAAACTAAAGCTACATACGATTTCTTTCTACTAAGATCCCCATATCTACGATTTTCCTATGTTCACGGAATTCGTAATAATCATTCCAATATTCTCTGGACATCCTACTACAGTGAACCCTTCTACAAACACTAATTCGTTCCGTGTTACATCGAAACCGTGCTGTAAGGGTACCATCAACCGAGCTGTTCAGTGTCATGGAAACATTCGCGCTATACGAGGATTGTCCAAGTTTATTACATCGTGCTGTATGGAAACCGTGTTATCAGAATAACGTATTAAAGGAGGGCTGTTACAATCTTTGCACCGTGTTCTAGCGAGACCGTGCTTTTAGAGTACCGTGTTATACGAGGGAAACACGTCCCGAGACAAGCGATAGATTTGAATCTTTTTCATTGTCTGTGGGATATGAATATTTCAATATATTATACGAAAAGTGACAACAATTCAAACTCATCGCTTGTGTCGGTCCATGTGTCACCGTAGGGGGCCTTAAGGCGATTGACAAAACGGTGTAGCAATGATCATAGGTCATTTGGCAAACCGCAGAGCCATGTCAGGACGATGGCTAGAGATCAGAAACGTCGTACTTTTTAAGTATGGACGTGCGGTCTCACAAATCTCTACATCAAATATTGTGAATTTTGAAACCAGTGAAATTTTCGTTACATAGTTGATACTATGGGTTTGTAGAGATATTTAAATAAGTAAAAACAAATAAATACAAATGGATTAAAGATTAAAAGTAACAATATGCCGAATCGCGCAGCGTCACCGCTGCTACGTCACAGCGAAATCGTGTCGCTCGTGTGCATACAACCTTAAGAATTTTTCTAGTCATATCCCTGTGCAGATTTAGCTTGTAGGTAGTCAGCGAACTTCTCAGTGGTGTATAATACCCGAACAGACATTGTCTACTTTCTACGAACGCGAGCGGGCGCAGGAACGTGTCATGAATCAATTGCGACTTCGCGTTCCTGTTAGATGAAAAAGGTCGAAGGGTAAAGGTTGCATTACTGTCAAGCTCGCGTAACACGGTAATTGGATTTTCTGAATAATACGTTCCTTGCCGGGTTTATCGTTTATTTTCCTCGTGTTTGCACCGTCCCGCATCTCTTCTGTATCTGCCGCTCACCTCCCAAAGGGAAATTTAAATGGATTCGGTGGACGAGACGTTATGCGGTTTCGTTCGGTCGTACATGAAAATTTAAGGGATTTGGGATGCGTCGCGTCGCGCTGGCTGTTTCGAGGGTGTATTGTAATTTTCGGACCCCGACATTCATTGATGCAACGCGGCGCTTGCAGGGTGATGCATCGCGAACGTGGTTATTTAATTGTAATTCGTGAATTTAACATGTTTATAAATTAATTTTCAGCTATATGGCAATTCTTTCTCTTTATCAAATCAGTCTAACGGACTATATATTTGATGGTACACACCGTCTTATGTAGATGTCGAAGAGTAAGCCACCGGTGGTACACGCCTTAACACGTAAATGTGTTAAGATAATAATTATAATAGTTATACAAAGATATGTAATATTAACCTCTTGTCTTATAATATCGTGTGGGACTCGTGGTGAGGATTTCGAAGAAAATTTAATAAATACAAATAGCATTCAGTTCTTTTGAATCGAAATTAAATATTATATATCTGTCATCAATTATTATGCTTTAAAGTAAATGTAGAGATGGAATGAGAATGAAATTCCTGTATTTTCCTAGTAAATTAGTAACCATGAAGCAGTCCTAACGAATGCAGTTACGGAAAAAATCGCAGGACAATGGGTTAAAACGAGTTTTATAAACGGTCAAAGAGTTTTAGGAAATTTAAAATTCTATGTGTAGAAAATCTACGAACCACGTATTGCAAACTATAAACACTGAGTTTACGGTCTTCCAATTCTGTTATATTGAATTGTAAATGTATAGTTACATTATTCTCCTATGTCGTTCCTAAATAATTTTGATATCATTCTGATGTTATTCGCCTATCGAAATAAAACGCAAACGGAGTATGCAATCTCAACGAAATGTGTTCGCGTCGTAATTTACCGCAACAAAATACGCTGACACGCGAAGTGACTCAACAGAATAGCTTCACCCGAACTATCCTAAGTGTCCTCCAATATTAACCACTTTAACTGTTTCTCCCGGGCTAACGTCTTCGGCCAAGTTTAAATATTCTTACGACGTGACATCTTTTCCAGTCCGACCGTTGAAGATGGATTTATACGGGGTTGTGGGCCACGTCTTGCGAGGAACGAACATCTTGCTGCAGTGCAGTGTACAAGCGGTGCGACCCGCGGCAAATGTCACCTGGCAGAACGGGACCGAGTACTTGGACAAGAGCAACGACAGATTCGGTATATTCGAAACGAAAGTGCAGGAGAACGTGAGTACCGTCTTAAAATTACTGTACGTGGCGATTTTGCAAAATTAATGTGACACGGCCAACGTTCTATTTCCTTTGTAAAATTATGGACACTATTATATTTCACTTTGGACGTCCTCGACGACGATGCTTAATTAAAAAGAATAGCTAGTTCCACTTTCTACGTTTCGTATTTCCATCTTTAAATAGATTTTTAGATGAAGATGAGATAACATTCTTCATTCTTTTTTAAATGCTAGCTGGTCTTGGAAGGTGAAAGTGCACTCTAGCTTTTTTTAATTATTAACCCATTGAAATCACTTTTTACGTATACATTTTGTTCATATTGCAAAGTGATTGTAATTTGTTACGTTTAGTCGATTTGATCTGATTTTAAAAGTAAGCTAAACTCGATGATTGATTCAGTTTTTCGCGATGAATTGAATATTACCGCCTTCCTTCATAAGTTTCATCTAGAATATTAGATCACTGATAGAATTCATGTAAAGCGGAGGTCTCATTATGAACAAGAAGTCACCTCCCTTTATCTATTCTTCATTTTATGTGTTTTCACAGGACGATGATATTTCCTTCCTAATATTTTCTTCGTGATTTGCGATTTTACCTAACCTACACTAACCTAACCTACCTACCTAACCTACCTAACCTACCTACCCTACGTACAGAACTTTTGTTTTTCAGAAAATTCTTCTGTTTTTATTTTTCTCTTCAAGAATACAAAAAATATATTTTGCCTGATAACTATTAATTTTGCACGTACTCTTAAAGTTTCTTGTTCTCAAAATTAACTCAGTAGTGTAAATTTTAGATTACTTATCTCAAGAAAATCATGATCTAACATTTATACAATTAAACAATTTATAGAACCGTGATCTCTAGAAGGTCAATCTGTCTTAGCCACTGCATCTGATTATTACTTTCTGTGTGAACTGTACAATACAAAGTTCTCATTGTTAATAACGAACATTTTTAGGGAAGTACATTCATTAAGAATAATACAATCGCACAACAATATTTTCAAATACTTAAATTTATTTTTACTCCTTAGCTGTACATTGACTTCCGATATAGCCTAACAATGCCTGCATGACATGTACTTTGTGTACCAAACAATCGACAGTCAATTATTCATGAGCTCTTGACTGAACAGAGTGAGGCACCCTTAGTCGCGCATGAAAAAGTGATTTCACAGATGAATAAGGTGTTCCAGGCTTCTCGCATCGGAAAATCATTACATGTCATTTCGCTCTGCGACGCCATAATAACGCATACACGTATGTCGTAGATCTGTACGCTCCGCCGCCATCATAAATCCATTATGGGAATATCTGAAGCTATAAAGTCACTTCAACTTAGATGGCTGAATAAGAAATCGGATCATTTTCCTTGCTTGCTTTTCAAGAAACGATAACTCGCTCATCATTTTCGCCGCTCTTATTAAGAGTAATTGCGTTTCAAATATTCACGGAATGTAATTAATACTAAACGTACCGGCACTTTATAGAAAGCTGCTTCTACTGTAACTAGTCAAATAACTAGTTATTAAAAAAGACAAACAAGTTAGATGATACATTGTTCTTAGTGGAAGCATAAACGAAAGGAAAGAAAAAAATTGAAAAATCGGTTAATCGGATAATAGAAGAATTAATATAAAGTTAATGGTTGAAAGAAAATGCAGAATTTTAAATCAGATTTGAATATCGGTCATATGATCGGTCACAGTACGTTTATTGTTAAAGGATTTCGGATTTGTATGCACTTCATGGGAAATCTGAGAGTGCAAACTTGCACAAAATGTATTATACGATAAAACGTAAAATCCGAAATACGTTGTTTTTTAGAATTCTTAATAATTTTAGAATTCTTAAAAATTTGAATTTGCATGAATTTATAACATTAGACATCATTTATAATTGAATTACTAATCCATAGTTTTCTTTTCTCTCTTTATTTACGCTACGCACAATTATTTACATTTCATTTTCTTGTTGAATTTGATTACACGGTTTGATTGAATAAAATAATCTCGCTCAACTGTAACAAAATACGGTGAAATAAAAATTTCCGAAAAAGCGGAACAATTTCCGGATGGACTGTATTGTATTACGATCGTTTGTGTGGCGGTATACGTGATCCATACTGTAATTGGTAATTTGAATTCGTTTCAAAGCTCGAATTTTCGTGCCCATTGTGCTGCGGCAAGGCATAACTGATATTGGAAAATATTTGTGTAACTGGAAAGTATCTTTTAGTGTTCCACTCTCTCTTCATCTCGAATATGAGGTCCGAAATATGAGAATGAAATACAGTATGAAACCTTTGCGTGCAACGTTCTATACCGAATACATAACCCGTGAATCATAATCTATTAATAAAAACATTTTTTAAAAGTTAGATTTTACATACGAAATTTCAGACGATATTCAATTCAAACGATAAACATTAATATGAAACAAAACATTTGTTATAAATCTCTTAAACTAAACATACAGACAATTTGTGCATACCTGTGCCTACCGTAACCAGTCAAATAACTGGTTATAAAATAAAGGTAAACAAGTTAAACGATAAATATTTCTTACTGGAAACAGAAACAGGAGACAAGACAAAAATTGAAAAACTGATTAATCGAATAACAGAAGGATTAATTTAATGTTAACTGAACGTAGAAAAATGGAAAATTTTAAAACAAAGTTTAAAACCGGTCATTTAACAGACAACGACATTAATACTAAAACTACCAGACGGGTCCAAATGATCTAATTCATATTTCTTCATTTTACAATTATTAAGAAGATAACACATGTTTCCCTAAGTATTTATTCACGAAATTAATTTAGCAATGCGCAAATTGAATTATAAAACAATTAAAGTCTCAATAGCTGCACTCTTGAAGTTTGTATAGAGGAATTTAAGAAAGTCAATTTAACTGTTCGGTAGGTTAAGCATTAATTGAAACGTTGCTACAGACAAAATACAAATAACCTCAAGAAAACCTCAAATAACTCCTCTAAAGCAAGAACTATTGAACTACATTATTTTCATTTTATTTTCATTGAAAATCATAATTATCAAACGTGTCTTCGAACTTCTGAGCAACAGTGTAGATCTCATAAATCGGAATTGCCACAATGTTTACATTACTAATCTTGTCACATTGCTACAAATTGCAATATATCTTACGATCGTGTATCCATAATTAAATACACGCGATTTCAATCTTCCTCGATCGTAAGCAACGCCGAGCTTCAGGTGAATCAGCCTCCGCGTTACGACGCGCAAAACGATCCGCATCACGAATTCCGACTAATTCCGATTCCCGGAAATTCAACTTTCCATCGGCGGATCGCGGTTGGCATCGTGTTCGGATTTAACGAGTCATTAATTGCTCATACCAGAATTGTGAATCGCATTATCACGAATGTCTGCGCTCCTGTAGGTCTAGCGTTCGGCGTTTAGCGCGTCACGGATCATAATTAGCATTGTTTATCGAGTGCTTGATTATGGCACGAGTGACTCGATGACTGAATCACGCAGCTTCGAACTCGCCAACAGACAAAATTTACATAGAGCCAAGTAATTATATGCCGCAAACGTTCGTCGACGGTAAACATCGTGGTGAACGCTAGATTAAGTGGACCCGCTTCGGTGGCTACGCTATCATTTTTCGTACCCTTCTGTCGTTTCTGAATTACAGAATTGTTAACACCAGAACCACCGGACAGGTAGAAATTATCACGTTGCACAGAAATAAAAAGGAAATAAACACAAACGATGGCTAACTACTTCATTTATACTACTGCATTAGAGTCATTTCTAATTAGATTCAACCGCGAATCAAAACAAATTATTCTATTTTACAGTTGCCGAAGTCATAAAATAAATATTAAATTTTCAATAAATTCATTTTTTTCTGCAAACACGACGATAAAGATCGAATATATAAATTCATTCTCGTAATATTTATAAAGAATTGACAATACTTTACTGAAACAGATTGAAATTCGAGAATATAATATTAGCAAAATTAATAGAATCTCTTTTCAATGCTATTCACCTAATAGTTAGGCACTACAGCTAAAGACTCGGAGCTATTAGACATTGATGCGAATTTGATGGTTGAAGGAGTCAGAAGCACAGAGCAGGGATGCGAAGACGATCGTAAGGAAACTTTCAACCGAATGTCCGAACTCTGTCCGCTTAATAAAGTACTCGTAGATCGCTTAGATCTAGTTAGCGGAGTAACTTGCTGTTCTATCGCTGATTGCATTGAACGAACGAACATATGCAACATGAAATGTTTACGTCATTGAATCGGATGTACAGCATGAGAAAATAGAATATCACTGATTGATAAACATTTTTAATAAAATTCTTTTTCTTTCGACAACTTCATTAATCTGCAATCGATCTATTATTTTTATTGAATTATAAGTAAATGTTGTGATCATAATGGCTTTGAGACTTAACCCAAACACGCTGTGTATCGCTCTGTGCATTAGATTGTATTGTATAGGCTTCGGCTTTGAATGTCTTTAACGGTTTAAAACGTTGAAGTAGGTTTAAAGTAGAATATCCCTTGAATCTTCGCAGGAGTACACTATTGTGCAAAAGTTTGCTCGATAAGATAAATATGTAATTTCCTTGAGATTTGCTTTTCTCCCGTAATTTGTTTAAAAAAAGCTCTGGTGGAAATCATTCTTAATGGGAAAATCATTTCTCTATGAAACGACTGTTCTCGTCGAAAAATACAGCCTCAAACTGTAGTGAACAAATTGATTAATAAAAATGAAGTTCCGAACAATTTCAAACTTAATTTCGACGAATAACATACGAATATTTATTCGCCAGACGTCCTTAAACCATTGCAAACTTGCAATTGTTTAATAAATTAGCATATAAACATGATTTAAAAAATCTAGTTCCTCACAAAGGTAGCTTATTTCAATTATCTCTCTCACCCGCGCTACCCCTCGGTTTTAATTAACTTTTGTATACCGAATTGCCTTGAGAATCAGCCAGCGATTAAGAAAAAAAATGTACGAATGCTTTCTTATTCGTTAAGCCGAGTGAAATCATCGTCCATGCGTACGAAACGTTTCCTTTAGCGAGAATGGATTGTGGCGGTAGAGTTAAGCTGCGGCGTGAAAAAAGCAAAATAATTGTAGCGATGGCTCCGCAAATTCTATTCTCTAATTCGGTCACTCCGGTACGCGTCGCTGTTTTGTTTTTTGTTCTCTTTGTTTTTGTTACGTGCTTTTGCGCTCAGCAGAAAACAAACATAGTTTTCGTTTCTTCTCTGTTCAGTGGAATATAGAAACGAACGCCAAAGAAAAAAATATGAAACACGCGGACAGGGGATGAAAATCATTTTTTGCGGAACGGATTGTTCCATTTTGGAAAATTGTTCTAACCTCAAAACCTATGATACGTTTCACGATAAAAGGTTTGTGCAAGCTGCAACTGTTGAAAATGTTTTCAAAGAAACTAGCGCGATGGAAAAAAATTGATGGAAGTGAAAATTTTGTAGAATTAAGAATAAAATCTGAAACGCGATGGGAAGTGTTTTACGAATGTGAAGATTTTGAGTGATTAAAAATACGATAAATTAACAATAAAATGTATTGTACATATTATTTTGAGATACATGTGTAAAAAATATATGGAATTTATTATTATTAATTTTATGACAATTGTTTTTACATTTGCTTGCGCAACATTTTTACAATTGCCATAAATATGATCCTCCTTAAGGGGCAAAGGAAATAATGGCATTGATGTTCCGCGAAGTACAAAGTGCCCGGTAAGAAAAGTAAAACTGCGATTTCGAAAATAATAAAATTTAATGTAGCGTAGACACTGGAAACTATCGTATGATTCAATATTACTCTGTTCCGCAAGTTTGAACGTTGATGTGGCGTTGAAAATGCTTGGCAACGAATGCCGCGCTGATCTAATATTCCTCTAACACTTTTTGTTCGCAGGACAACGGCACGTCGGAAACCATAAGTTACTTGGCTTTTACCGCTTCGGAGTACGACAACGGTAGAACGTTCAAGTGTTACGCCGAAAACTCGGTCACACGGTACGAAAACCTGGAACCAATGAAAGAGTCAACAACGATTGAAGTTTTATGTAAGTGAGAGATTACTATTGCCGATGCCTCTGTTTATGCCACAAGTTACAACCACACAAGCACTGTTTTTAATAATGTATCGAGAAAATTGTGAAATATTATTGTACTGTTGTAGAATACATTTATATATTAATGTAGAATCGATAATTAACGCGTCGAGCGCTGTGCAAGTCATTAGCGAATTACAAAGTATTTTCTACTTTTAATTGCGTATTCTTCAGAATGAAATATATATGTTTTATTTTATTTTTGCTGGCTAATTATTATATTTGTCTCTGAAATGAGTTTAGCACAATGATTCTCATCTCTTTTAATATCAAACAGTGAAGTAGTTAAATGAAAGGAATAAATAATTAATGCGCTGAGAGCTGTGGAAATCATTAGCGAATTACAAAGTATTTTCTATTGAAATCATTTTAATAATTTACTGCAGAAGATAAAATATACATCTTTTTAATTGCGTATTATTCAGAATGAAATATATATGCTTTATTTTATTATTTTCTTTTTGCTGGTAATTAATTTCGTTATCTCAGAAATAAATTTAACACAGCATTCAATGCGTTAAAAAGGAATTAACGGTATCCATTAATATCGAACAATGAAATATTTAAATCAAAAGCAAATAAGGGAAAGAATAAAAACTCTACGTGCTAGGAATATACTCGTTGACCGCAGCTCACAAGTCAGCTTTGACTCGTACGGTTTTCTCGAGACTTCCTCTTCTCAAAGAAACAACCACATTCATACCCCTCACACTCGCACACACGTTTCCGCGGTTCCCGGAAAGTAAACGGGTTTTCCAATACTACATCTTAACCTAAACACTTCGATGCATTGGCTAACGAACCAACATCCACAAAAACCGAGCGAAATCGAGAGAATTTATTTAATGAAATGGAAGCTGACAAATTACAGAGGTACTGTTCGACTTCAAAACTTCATAAGAACTTGACTCTTTATATCACAATTCAATGAAATAAAAATGATAAACACAAACCTGTTGAAACTGAGAGTTTATATATTTTTATCAATTTTCCAAGACGGAATTTCTTAAAGACTGAAATTATATTATAATAATATATTTTATATATAGTACAGGTAACAATGTCACACGTAAAGAAAGTGAAATAAATTTCATTGAAATGAACTATTTCGTCTGAAAATAATTTCCGATGAGATTCTGGCTCAGTGTCGTGATCGTTGTCGTCTGACCCTTCTTAGACAAATGATTCTCTCGTACAATTGTCGGCCGCAAAAATACGGGAAACCGAGGGAACTACGGTTAAAAGGAAATTTTCCACGGTAAACGATCAGCTCGCAAAAAGTCGTAAAGGATCGCTTCTAATTTAGCCGTAGCGATCCGAAGGAATAAAAGTACATAACGGTCTCGACATTCTTCGACCTAATTTTTTGCGATGTTTGATCAACATCCGATATACTCGACCTGAAATTAAGTTACGCTTCACCGCCGTGGGCTCTGTACCCACGTGGTGTATTCGTGTTTTATCGCACCCTTACCAACTTGCTGCTTCATCCCAGAGTTAAAAAATGTAATCATAGTTTCAATTAACCGGAATAGGTCGTTCCCCGGCGATTTAATGTTCGATCATATTTTTAGGAGGGGGAAAATTGAAAATGACTATTCAGACTGACTGCGATTCACGTGAATCGTTTATTAAATAATACATATTCGATGCGATGTAGTTAACGAATAGATAATGATGCATAATGTTGAGATGACCGAATTTTTTTAATCATGGAGACAACTCTGGTCTTACACATGAGAATAAAATATTATCAGAGAGTCATGTGAAAATACAGATGAATTCAATTGTTGATGCAAGAATCAAAATGAAAAGCCAAGAACATCCCAATTTGAAAAAGGATATGTAGTCAATTTTGTTGCAGTATGCAGCAAAAGAAAATATTTTAACCCTTTGCACCCGATTTATTTTCAATATTGTTGGGTATAAACTTGTATTTATTTTTCAGGAAATGAATTAAAGTAATTTATAGCGATAGAATTCAAATTTCTTATTTATTTTATGTATTTTTATTATAAGATTTAATTTTTATAATCTTTTAAAATATGGTACTATCTAAAATACCACAAATAAAGTATAACAAATTTGTATTGTCATCTCCAGCAAGACATACGAATGCAAAGCGTTAAAAAACAATAAATTCATTAGTTCAAACTTATTCACGATTTTCCCGATACTTACCCGAAACTTCTGCATTAACTTACGTACAGCCCAAAACGTTCGAAATTCTCATGGCAGTGGAGGTGTCAACCGATTTTCCTAGTACGCAGCTCGTATATACGACAATAGAAACGAAACGGTGAAAGGTGAAGTAAGCCAAACGTGTTCAGCCAAAAATCAGGGGTCTCGAGTACACTTAACTACGTTTCCATCGAGGACATCTGAGATTTCGGACATCCCCCAAGGTCCCGATGTCGAGATAGCGTCGCGAGAAAGCGCTAAATCCCGATGAACGTTCCCGATAATCCCGTCGCTTATAAGCAACTTCTTGTATCTTTCAATTACGTTTGTAGGCAGAACTCCGGTGTGGGTGAGAGGGCGGAATAAGGAAAAGGGTGGGAAAGGAACAGGACGGCAGAGGGGTGGAAAGATCCCGTTGCCGCGATACGGAAAAAAGAAAGATAGATAGCCGTATATCTCGTTGATGTTTCCAGTTACGTCGCTTCGCGACGGGGAGAAGTTTCGTTTTGTAGCCAGCACGAAAGCTATCTACGGATTGGAAACGAGAAACTCGAAGCTGGCGCGGTTCCAACTTCTCTCCCCTTAGACAGGCCACTCTCACGACTATGTACTTACGGAGAAAGAGGTGAGGGGAGGAGGAACGATGGTGGGAGGAGGAGCGGCGGTGGAGCAGGAGGAAGGGAAAAGGGGTTTTGTTTTATGCCCCGGCATTTTGCGCTGCTGTGTTTAAACATATCTCGGAACGCGGACGAACCTGCGCCCTACGCTGCTACCTAGGCGTTTTCCCGTGCACGCGCGTTTTATTTTTCATTCCGGACACGCCGCCGCCGTGCACGACGACATATTTTCGGAAACAAAAAACTCTAGACACATTTCCGCTTTTTACGTGGATTTGTTGCCTTTAACTATTAGACGACGAGCGGCCACGCGAGCGCCCGCAGTTTTAGAATTTCGCGCGTACGAGCGGACGGGGGATGGGCGAGTACTTTGTAGGCTAGAAGAGTGAGCCTTCCTTTAGAAATTCTTTTCTGCGACAACGCGTGGGAGAGAGGGAAGGATGATGTTAAGAGTTTTTGAGAAAGTCTGCGGACAGATGCGACTGAATTTATGTATTTGCTGGGGAGAATTGATGCGATATTCTTTTGAAATGTTTTCCTTTCGTTTGGGCTTCTTCCATCTTTGGGTGAAAGGATGGTTCTTTGATGGAGGAACGTCTTGGTTTTTGTGTGAAAAAGTGTCTTATTAAATGATATTGTAGTGCTGCTACCTGCTTTTTAAAGGAGTTCTAGTATTTCGGAATACAGGTGTTTTAATGGTTGTTATTTATGATTTTAGGGGATCAATATTTGTGGATTGTTAAGTTTGAGTAATTCAGCATTTTCTTTTGGAAAATTCAGTTGCACTTATCGGAATTATATTTGTTACATTTCAAAGTCTTATGCCATGGGTTTTAGAGGTACATCGGACGCTAAAGATTTCTATGGCCTTCATTTCAAGTAGCTTGGAAACATTTCAAACTTTCGTACGCCTCCGTAGACCTAACCTTCCTTTTCAAAGGCTGGCTGACTAAACACACCGTTTATCTTCTCCTAGACTCTTCAATTTGTTTTTCATGAAAAATTCGTAAAACTTTACTTTGCCACGTTTAGTCGGTAACGTTTCTGAAATTCGCGGTGAGACACTATAAAAATGTATACAACATACGATATCAGTATGTTTGATCTAGATGAAAAACAATAGAAAATTATTCTATCCCTTCTCTAAGAAATAAATTTAATAGTAAAAAAAATCGACGAAATTGATTTAAATTATTATGTAAGAATTTACACGAAACATTACTTTTCTTTGCAGATCCACCGATAGTCAAAATGAAAACGCAGAACATCACTGTCAACGAAACCGAAGATATACTAATATTTTGCGATTACGAAGCGAATCCAGCCACTTTAACAGCAGTAACGTGGTAAGTTTATATTTCATTTAGAATATAAACTGTAAAACTGCTTTAACTCTTTGCACTCGTGAGGTGACTCTCAGTCGCCAAATGATTTAGTATAGTAAAATTACAAAGTATTATATATAACATTAAGCTTTGTACAATTCCATCGATATGTGAAATACTTAAATGAAATAGTTTCATTACTTAATTTTTGTATGTTTTCTGATTATCTAGTTTTAAAGAATGTCTATATCGTAAAAAGTTGAATGTTTTTAGTGAAAAATTTTCAGGTAGGTTAAAATGGTAGATTCTTGTGCAACTAAATTGTGCCACCAAAACGTTTGTCTTTATCTTAAACAATTTTGTAATTTTAAACAACGTGTGGTTTGTCTTATTAAAGAAAAACGCTTTTAATATTCAGGAATCTAATGAAGTGATGGCTTTATGGGCGTGGTAGAGTCATATCTTATATACTAGAGCAGCTTCGTCCTCGGTGCCCTTATATAATAATTATGTCATTCTGAGAGACCTCGAAAGGCGTCAAAGTACAAGCATCTGCTTTGAATCCCATCTCGCTTTCCTGCAAAACTGCTGAGAAGGTTTATTGACGGTACACAGCTTCGCAAGTTTATAGCGCTTCGTCCAACCACGACTAACTATGTTATAAAACAGGACGGAAGTAACGAGAAGTTAATCCTTACTTCGTGAAGATTGGATTGAACTTCGCCAACGACAATACAGATTCTTTATCGACTTAATACATTATATAGGGTCTCCAACGCGTTCCTCTCTAAAATTCATGTTTAAACTGCACTATACATTTCAGATTATCAACGATCCAAGCCAGCTCGCACGATTTGTCGCGTTAATTCATTGTCCTATGATTTCTTTTACAGCTGTGCTTGATAAAACTGCTTTAACATTACCACTGACTACTACTAAACTTTATCGTTAATAATTTAGTAGCGATAGAAAAGAATTTGATGTTTATTTGGTGTCTACGTTTACTCTATAGGTTAAAAATTCATAATAGACAAGTAATATTTCATAAGTATCATTTAAATTTGTCGAATTCAGTTGAAATTTTTCGTCATGAGTCTGACTCGATATTATAGAACAAGAGGTTAATTTCTGCCCTGATTTTTTCAAGTAATAACACTGGAAAACGTGTTTGAATGAAATGAAAATTTCATATAGATTTTTATATTCCTTTCGTACTGTTTCATTTATTTTGAGATTCAATTCTTTAGTTATTTGGAAAAGTCATTATTTAACCTTTTGCGCTTCAGAAGTGACTCTCAATTGACACTTGATATGATATACCGAAATTATAAAGTCTTATAATATTAGGCTTTGTATAATTACAGATGTGAAATATTGAAATAAAATAGCTTTGTTTCTTAATTCCTATACGTTTCGTCGTTAGCTAATTTCGAAGAATAACATCTATATCTCATCGGAAAATGTTGAATATTTCTAATGAAAAACTATCGAGTGCAAAGGGTTAACGAAAAGAAACGGAACTAATGTGATCATTTTTAATTAATGAATTACTTGCATTCAGTGGAAAATTTTCAGCTGAAAAGCTGCCGTTTTTATCGGACAACCAATAGGATGTTTCCTACATTTAGAAATGTATGTACATGTTGGCGTCGTGAAAACTCAAAACGAAGGCTTCAAAACTCGCATCAAATGTCTGAATCGCCGCTATTACTTACCCTGTATGCAGCGCTGTTTACGACAAAAAATTTTTACGGGTCACAAACTAACGTATCTAATCGTAAACATGTTTATCGACCGTATACCGATATTGGAATTCAAAAGGTTAATATGACACGTGAAACAGGAATACATAACTTCCGTTCGATAACGTTTCTCGCTGCTACTCTCGAAATGTCTTTGAACGTTGCCACGGGAACAGCTCGAGTAACTTATGCGAAAAGATATCCAACGGAAACCACTATTACTTCTCAGGAAATTGAAATTTTAAGTGATTTATGATTCACAAATAAAAAGAAAAAAAAAAGAAATCGCTGTGGTTAGTTTCGTTTCTGTCTGCGAGCGAACTGCGAGTTACAACTCGCGAAGGCGGTTTTAAACATTACACAATCCAGACGTAGAACGGTTACGAAGTATATCTTTTTTTTTATAGTTTCAAATGCAATGGAAAAAGATTCCGATCTCACCTGCTTACAGAGCTTTGCTGAAATTGAATCTGACTCACATGAATTGCGGTCATTTTGTAAGAGAAAACGCATTGATTCTCATGAGAGGTAGAAGGAAGTTGAAATATGGAGACACGCGGAGATACGAGATGGGACTTTTTCGAATGTATTTCTTGAAGAAAATTCTAAAGAATAGAATTTAGAACCTGGTGAAATAAACTAGTAAGGAATCGTATATTAAATTGTGTTTGAATACATTTTACCGTTGGTCGATACCATCGCGACTTTATGTATTATATTTCTCATAAATTTATACGTTATGAAACGATATCTAGCATCAATGCTCGCATTGGTGAACCTTGAACGACCGGGATTCAAGCATTCGCGTACATCACTCGGAGGTAGCACTTGAAACGTCAAAATAAAAAGGTGTGAATCTGTCTGGATGATTTATTACGTTTTTTCTAGCGCGGAGCTCTAAAAACCAAATTTCAAGCTAATGCACGTGACGGTACTCGCAAGAGTTCAATTTTCAGCATTTGCTTTACGAGAGCAAGTTCTATTAGAAAAACCGCGATGCACACCTTAATGAAGTAGATATAAAAATCTCTATAAAATACGGTAATTACAAGATTCTAGAGACTCGTGCGAATTCGTCAATCTATGTAGTTTAATTCAAAAAGAATATAATTACAATGAATAAATAAATATGTAGATAAATAGATAGATAAATAGATAGATAAATAGATAGATAAATAGATAGATAAATAGGTAGATAAACAGGTAAATAGATGTATAGATAAATAAATAGATAAATAGATAGATAAACAGGTAAATAGATGTATGGATAAATAAATACAGAAATAAAAGAAAATCATTGTTAATTGTTACAAGTTTTTAAACATCTTCTAAGTAATAAATGAAAGCTCAAGACTTTCGCAGAAAGTTCAATCACGAAATGCGTATGACATATGACTTCTTCGAAAATATCATATTTTAGACCTGCCCTATATTTAAAAATCTGCGTTTTTTACCGTAAAATCCGGAAACACTTACTTCCTGTACGTTTTATTTATTTTTCTAGGTTACGGGACGATAAGGAAATAGTTTTAACTGAAGACCATTATGAAGGCGGCATCACGGAGCAAACAGCACTCACCGTGAAAAATGCATCTGCCAACGATATGGGCACTTACAGATGCATCTTGAACAATACAGTGGGTGCATCCATGTCGGAAGATTTCGTTGAAGTTTCCGTTTTATGTAAGTACTAAAAACGTTCCTTAGTATTTAAGTACTAAATATTCTGAGCATTTGAGTTCTAAAAACTGTCTATTGGGAATTATTAAGTTAATTTAACTTATATAAGTTATAATATCTTAATTTTGTTATATATGAACTTGTTCAACCTTATATTAACACACTGTATGCAAGAAACATACTTTTTAAAAATATTTTTTATTATTTGAAGTGTTTAATTTCTGATTTAAATTAAATTTTATAAAATATAGTATTATAATAATTAAAGATATTATTATTAAAAATAAAATTATTAAAAATATTCAATTTATTAGTTATTACGTTTCCGGAGTACCGTCTAATAGTAGTAAATAAATGTTTGTGTTCATTTCATTAACATTTTATGTTAAAAGTAATTTTATTCTTCCCATAAAAATGTGGTTTCTGACCTAGAAAAAGCGAAGAAACAAGTAAATCCTGCAATAGCTAAAAAGGATATTATTTATATAGTATGTTTACTATTAGATGATATTGAAAATGTGGATCTTCAGTAAAAAGAGAATTAGGAAAACAATATATATTTAATAAGATAAAGAAACAATACGGACAACACGTAAAAATACAACACACGACTCTCGCACCAAAAATGTTCTTCTCCGCTGTCGCTCACCAAAATGTCCTCATGCACGCATTTCCACTCGCTTTTAACACACCCCCATTCGCTCTGTCTTTCTCACCCTTGCACCCTTCTCACTCGCATCTTTCGTCCATAGTCAAAATTCACGCAGTCACGTACACACTTTTCTCACGGTCCAGTCGCTCAGTCCCAGACACTCTTCCTCGCATTCTTTCAGCCACTCGAAATTGTCTAAACGCAGTCACACTATTTTCCAAACATCCCGGCGCCGGTCCGTCGCAATACGACCTGGTCGCCCTCACGCACGCACAACAAACCATTCATCCTACAATATTTTAATCTACCCTAAATATTCTAGATACTACATTTATTCTATGAAAATTTATAAAAATCAGAAAATATAAAAAAATCGACTTAACTGCACTGGCTTCAGAGCGACTCATGTAATAAGTAAATATAACAAATAAATGAGTTGAATGTAATTGATATACGTTCAAATTAATCTCCTCATGATTTTGAAGAGACATGTGTCGTTAGACAAATTATAGATAAATAAGCGTTAATTAGTAATGATTTTAATTTAGCTGATAAACTGCGTTGGCAGTCGCAGATGAATTTTTGCAATCATCTCCCGAATTTGCGATCAATAGTTTGAAAAACGGTTTCCGAAGAGAAAATTGAATGGATTATATTTGTTAATGAAAAAGGCAAACGGTCTATGCGTTCCAGTATTGGCTTTAAAGCGGTGCTCGCGAGAATTTATGGACACATAAATATCGTTTACCAGACTAAAACGCGACAAATTGCTGTAATGCGAAACGGAACGGAACTATTTTTCCCGTTGCTTGTATTTCCCTGTGTGCGGTAACGTCGATCATGCTTACTCGTAAAAACATTTTACGCGAGTCAATTGGAGGGAATTTCAACGCTTATAAATTGAATTATATTCGAATAATGGAATTATAAGAATTGTGAAGATATTTTACGTTCTCAATTATTTTTTCGCGCGAAGATCTTTTCGAAAATCTTTTCCTTTCGATGTGACGAAACACTTTCATGAAAATAAAATTTAATGTTACAATTTAATTTAACACCCTTCGCCATTCAGATTTTTACTACTAGATTATTTTATTTTACTAAAAAATGAAGAATTACAATTGTAATTTCTACAAACGATCATTTGCTTAAGAAATATTTTCCCCGATTTAAAATTAAACATTTTTCAAGGGAAATGTGGATAATAATTGAAAGAATCTGAATTATAAAATACTTAAAAGTTTCTCGTAAATAGGAAAGTAGATCTTGGAACTACAATGATCTTTTTCCAATATTGTGCAATGTTTATGAGCCGCAAGGTTAGCCAATTTCAATGAAAGTTCTGGAAGCAGTGTTAAAATAATTCAGCATATCTAAACTGTCGGGCTGGAGTTGCGTCTGACGCTTATTGCTCTACATTTCGGTCAAGCACGTACAAGATAGCGGACTTGTTGGAGGAAATGCTGATCATAAATCTGAAGGGAAGAACAAAAATATTGAGAAAGTTAATGTCAGCCGGTATCTTAAACTCTTATTCGTATTTCTTCTTTCTGTTTATGAATCCAACCGTGAAGAAAAGTGTTTAAACTTTATTGAATTACTTTACCAATGAATTTACCCTTACAACATACCCCGTACCATTAATATTTTCATTCATTCCAAGAAGTTTTTATTGCTTTCAAAACTATTTCCAAGATAAAGTAAACCGTAATAGAAAGACGCATAGATTCGGTATAATTATTCCACTCACTAAAGGCTCTGTCCAAATAAAAAACTAATAACCATTCATTTAATTCATTCATTCGGGACAGAGTCTTTTTTTGAAGATAGTCCCTAAAAGTCAAGACTCGAAATAATCACTTTCATCATTATTATTCATTTCTTTTGTAATTCCGACGATCTTAATCGTAGATCACTCGCTTTTCAGCCTTACATTGAAAGCAATACAATATTCAATTTATGAACATCTTGGCACGTTCTTTAGCCATTTATTTGTGACGATCGATATTTCATATTTTGCGCAAAAGAGAATAAATTACGTTTACGTGTGTTTTTATACAAAATAATAACTCACAGTGTAACGTGTAGGAAATTGACTAAATTTTTCACTTGAATTTTATTTTCAATTTATAACGACGATTTGTTGCATTTAGTAAAATATTGTAACTATAAAGATTGTTATAGAAACAAACGCATTAACATGTTCACGCCGGTATCTACTACCAGTGATACACAGCCAATTTATAATATTAAAATTAATCAACAGCAACAAGTAAATTATTTATCAAACTATTTATCAACATTTTCTCACAATTAGCAACTAAAGTCAGAAAGCCAGGCACGTGATAAAATAATGCACTCCAACATCATTTGTGCAAACACTGTTATCATTACGATCTACAATTAAACATATAGAATCATATCCCGACGTGAACGAGTTAACACCAAGCATATCGGCACTTCTCCTACTGTAAACTACCAAATAAAAGCAAACATGTTAGATGATAAATTGTTCTTATTCGAAACAGAAACAAAAGCACAAAAATTGAAAAACCGATTAATCCGACAATAGAAAAATCGATATAAAGTTAAGTAATGTTATCTAGTTAACTGCGTTCGACGAGTATACACATCATCTTCAAGCTTCAAATGATACTAATTCTTTCAACCATGAATTCTTTATTTTTCCAGATAAACATGCAATTCTTTCTTTTGCTTTGGTTTTTTATTAAAGTATACCCTAGCTGCATTCGTTCCGCGTTTGACGAGTACACACTTCATTCCATCATTTTATCACGCGCAAAACGAGAGATTCTTCAAACTAAATTCCACAGTTAACAGGCTAAAGGAAACGAAATCGATATCTGCCGTTGTCCCGTGGAAAACGAGCGATTTCATCCCACGCCGCGCGACGCACCGACACATTAATGTATCGCGGCACAGATTGAACGAGCTCCCCATTGCATGAACAATTCTCCATCAAAAGTAAACGTCGCCTAGCCGTAAACAGGATCACGGCACAATGAAATTCTAATTGCAGTCTTAATAACACTCTCGAGCGTTGTATTTTATACAAACAGTCCGCGAAGCGAACCGAGAATTCGAATGTAGAAAATTAGTTCGCCGGCCCGCCTGCTAGCTTCTTCCCCCTTGCCCGGTTGTTTTTCCTTGCTCCGTTCGCTGTGCAGGGCAAACTCCGCGGACGGTCTTCAGATTCTTTTGTTTTGAACTTGCTGAAATCTTGATTACCCCGCGGATAAAAAATGTTCCAGCCAATCTGCTGATTGGATTCCTCTGAGTTTTCTGTCTAGGTGGTTCCCGGCTGGTCCCTAAATCTCGGGTCCCTTGTCCTGGCCGTTTATCTTTGATCCCGTGCAGTGTAAATAAGACTCCTCGTTTTCGCGCGTCGAACAACCGGCCTCCGGGATACGTGCATGTTTTACTTTGAATAGTTTTACCGCGAACATAAATCTTTATGCTTCGGCCGGGTCTCGTAAAAAATGCATGAGCCATGAGACTTTTAAAACAGTTCGTCGTTCGACGACCGAGTAACGGGGAGAGGGACGCGGGAGGAGGAGGAAATATTTCCTCTCTTAAATTGATTAGATCCATTTTAATGAGACGCGTCTACCCGAGGAACGGCGGAACGAGCACCGCGCAATTATGCGTTCCGTCGGGATGATTGACTTTTTCTTAGGATAACAGGTTAACGTTTACCTTTGATGGATTTTGTGAATCGAATTGCAGCTGTAAGTGACTGACAGAGGATATAGTTGGAGTGTTTAATTTTTCGCGATAGATTTTGAAACATCCAAAACAGCAAAAATCTGATCTGTGTATTGGAGAGTGTGATACCTTCAATATAGTGGTGTTTAATTATAGATTACCTCAGATGAGAACGATTAAATCACTGATATACCTATCTATTATATATAAATCGTTATTTATTCATGAGAAACCCATTTTGTTTGGCAAATTCAATATCTATTTCTATCATAAAGAACCGGCTCTTTTATTTTCAGTTGAATATAAATAATATTACCGTATCACTAAGGAAACAGCAAATAATAACTGTATTCCTTAACACACTAGGCTTAAAGTTTAATATAATCTTAATAATAATTTAATATGGCCAAATAATAATTATTTCAAGGTTTAAGAGCACTTGTACAGTTTATCCTGTTATTTCTAGAAAACTTGATATTCGTTTATATTCTCAAATTAAAAGTTTAAAACTAGGGTATTAGGATATATATTCATCTAACAGCATATTTACCAAACACTGTTTATGAAATTCAATATGCGTCAAATTGTCACTTTCCCTAAACTTAGCGTTAATATCGCTTGTTATTTGACTTTCTATTGAAATTCGTGGAGCACTATTACTTTATGCTTTGCTTGTCCATTTGCTCGTAGATAAACCCGTGGTCGAAGTGATAATGGATCCAGAGACGCCCGTGAACGAGGCGGACCGTTTGAACGTCTCTTTGACCTGCGAAGTTGTTTCTGGAAATCCAGCAAGCCTGACCTCTGTCCGATGGTACTTGGACGGAGACCTGCTGAAAGAACTTCCGGATTGCACGAGGAATAGCACCGCGACCACCACAACCACTGAGGAATCTTTAATTTTCTGCGATATTGATCCGAGCAAGCTGCTGCTGGAAGCAGTAGGTCGTTCCTTTCACGGGAACTACTCTTGCGAGGGCAGAAACGACGCTGGCTGGGGACCACTTTCACCGAGTGCGCCTGTCATAGTCCATTGTAAGCTCTTTTAATTTTTAATCCTTTGATCCAATCTTCTTCTCGTTTTTTTTTCTACTTCAACATGTCGGTGACTTCGCAGTTCGTTGATCTAAATTATTTTGCCACTGCATAGATTCGCGAACAGGAACTTTTTGTGTCCTAGTTGCGTCGGCGATCTCTTTTTTCTTTATCGTTGCGACCGTTAATTGTTTTCCGCGTTCCAGCAGAGTGGACTCCGGACTTTTTACTTGAACTTTGTTCTTTTATCGTGATGGAGATCGTTTTGTCCCTTTCCATGAATTCTGTTGAGTATTTAGATGTTCTTTGTATATCTCCGTAACGTTTGACTCTCATATTCTATACGGTAACTCTCATTTAATCGTTTTTAATATGATTTCAATTTTTAATGTTTTATAATTATGGTGGAATAGTTTATTACGTCTTGAAGAGAAAAGAAGGTTTCGATGAAGGATATTTATTTGTCTAAAATAGTACGTTAACACGTTCACAGTCCTGTGATCCACATATGAGAACTTTCGTAACCTTTTATTCCCTGAAGCAGTGTTTCAATTATCATTTTAATCGAAACTTTACTGTGAGTCAAATTATATTTGAATATTCTATAAATTTCGTTTCGTTCAATTTAACATAACACTGCATCGCGCTAACAATCATAAGAAACATTTGTAGAACTCAGAAGTCGACCAGTGTAATTCACATTTTCGTTTTACCCAAGAGTCTAAAAGAGTTTTCATCGTTAAAATGTCGAGTTATTAAAGCAACTAGAGTACTACTTATAAAATTAACTCGTCATACGAGTTCCCTTTCATTCCTCAACAGTTCTTTATTTTCAAACTCATACAATAAATAATTTTCGTATTTTCGAAGCATAATGACCATACCAGTACAAGCCATACAATATTATAATATACCACATACACCATTCACTACATCAGTTTAATTTGTCTCGAATTTCACTGTTACAAATTGCATTATTAACCGAAACTTTTAGTAACGAGAACACTCCATAGATGCAACGATAATGTGTCCCTCACTGTTTCACTTCCCATTTCCCATTAACACCAACGAAAGCAGAAAATTCCATAATTCAGGGCATAAAGTCCTACACAAGAACTCGGTTGTTTTCATTCCGTCTCGCTCGCTCGTCGCTGCCCTTCTTCCCGGAAGGGTTGAAGGGCTGTTTAGCGGTGTGCAGTGCCGCCGGGTCTGCGGGGAATGGAAATTAGACGGCGATGGGATCGCCAAAGCGCAAAGTTACACGATGGTAGTACAACTACGGACGGTGGACGTGTTAAAATGACTTTTAAAAGTGCGCAGCACTCTAGGGCGGAATAGTAACAAACGAGTACATGACTTTCGTATCGTTGGGAACGGCAGACAAACCTGGCCCGGCTTCGATCTCGTACGAACCTCAGCAGGTAATAAAGAAGAGGCCATTGACCATCACATGCTTCGTCCTGGACCCGGGACGGCCGAAGGTAGTTGGGTTTAAATGGTTACGAGGCCTTCACAGGCTTCCAGATGTGAATGGGACTACCCTCACCATCGACTCGGTTAATTTGGAAACTGAAGCGAACTTTACTTGTCTCGCTTACAATGAGGCCGGCGACGGGGACCCGGCCACCACGTTTATCGACGTATCTGGTGAGTTGTAAAGTTAGTTTGTAAAAGTTTCTAATTCCCCCTGTGCGCGAATAAATCTCTCATACGTCTTGCGCGTGACATTAAGTCGTATAGAAGTCGGAGAAATGGCATTGTAATAGCTGCGTGGAAAAAAGCCGTGACCCATTTCTTTGCCTTTATCTTCTCGTGATTTATTGGAATCGAAGCGGACATTTTCTGTTTTTTTTTCTCTCTGTTTCCCTTTCTCCGTTTATCGAATGAGAAGTACTGGATTCTGAGATGCATATGATACCGTGAACGCAGTTGTATTGATCATTCTTTTGTTCCATTCTCTTTTTTGCGTCTCGAACGCGATTCCGCGGTGGACTATATAAATATGTGTACGTCGTTTGATAATTGGGTGCTTTTAAGTGTTTTGTTGTGTGTATTCTTGTCTTTTAATGCTGGATTTATCGAACGAACCAATTTGGCTCATATTGATCTTTATGAACAATATTTGGTAAATGGTTGAGTTGATTTGGATTGATGCTGATACGCAAATATGTATCCGAATTGTCTACTTTTAAACCTCTAATTTCCAAAATCTAAATGAACAAACTGTACAGTAAATGTCCGTAAATCTAGTGTTAATTGATATCCGAATATTGAAATTCGAAGAGGTTTTTAACTCTAAACATTCAGGTGGTAGCAGTTTCCTGAAATTAACAGTTCTAATGATTTAAGTTTGGTTAAGATATTCTCGCGCATTTAGTAGGTACGTGTAATTTGAGTTTCTCGTGTAGATATTTCAAAGCAACAATGCAATTTTAATGCGATACGACGCTTGTTTTGCGACTAATAAACAACTGCTTATTACGAATAACACACATAAAACGTTCCAACGAAACTATAACATTATGGCGTTCGTGCTGTATCTACAATTAATGATTCGTATCTTGAAATTTCCATAAACACGATTTCCGTTTTTATGCAATTTGTTTACATGCCCTGAAACGTTTACTGCATCGCAGTTGTTTTTGCATTTCGCATAACAACATTTCCATAATATCCAACTTTATTCGATGTGCATTTCGTTCAGTGGCAATATCAGCGTAATATGTTTACGAACAAATTGAAATCTTCATTAAAATCACGAAATAAATTAGGTAATTCAAAATAAACTTTCATTTGAACAACACCGATTTCTTCCACAGCGTTCAAACATCACCAAAGTTGCAACCGAACTTTCAAATCTGAAGTCAGATTTCGAGCCCATCGAACACTCGTTAAAAAAAAGAACTTTCCTCGATCTCACGAGCTCCCGTCAGAAAGTTGAAATATCGAATAGCGGGAAAACGGCATTGATTAAATTCCGCTGGCAAATAATCGAACGATACGTTTGCCCCGCTTCTTACATTGTTTCGCGAACTCACCGGCTTCCATGAAAGATGCACCAAACATCGATACCGGGAGAGTTTCCAACAACAGCGTGGAAACTAACGCGTGACAGTCGCGATAGTACATTCTGGGTCAGAAAATCGCTGGTATTCCGACATCGACGGGAACGATCGCGTCACCCCTTATCTCTGGCCAGCCGCGACAATGTCACCGGGAGATCGCTCGAAAACACGGTTAAACTTGTTCTTTGATTGTCAATAGCGGCGCCCGCCTTTATCAAGAAGCTACACACTTATCACGGGTTCGTGTACAATTCGCCGAACGTTAGCATCATGTGCTGGGTAGAGTGCGCGCCGGTTTGCAATATCTCCTGGCTGAGGGACGACATACCGATGGATTTCTCGAAAACGAACCGCTACTACGTCTCCAACGTCTATCATCAGCCCGATCCGCGAACAAACGACTTCGAAAGCATCCAGTCGACACTCGTTTGGAACCTGACCGCCTGGCCAAGCGGTCAACTCGACCGGCTCGAGGATAACGTGAAATTCACCTGTCAGAGCAGCAGTAACAACATCGGACCCGGAGTGAACAGCAGCACTCATTTCCACGTGGAATGTACGTGATCTTAATCTTGTTTTTCTTTCTTTGGCACGTTAGCTGTAGTTCTTACGTGGCAGACTTTGTTCTCGATCGATCTTTTGCGAGGGATTTGTTAAATTAAAATTCTTCACATAATAGACTGAATTATACATAAAAGATATTAAATATTGTAAAACATTGAATCGTACGTCAATCTCTTGTTATTTGAATAATTGAAGTATTCACTTGCAACTATTTTGTAGCTTTGCCAAAGCTTGAAGTCGCCATTATTGCAGCATTCAACTCTAAAGGGTTATTTTGAACAAAAGGACATTTTTAAATGACTCTTAACTTTTCTTATCTTAATTTTAAATAGTCTCAACTTTCGAGTTTATGTGAACTTAATATTATAAAGGTTGGAACAATAATAGATATAATTAAATTTAAAATGATAGTTAAATGTTACTTTAAACAAGTGACTGGTTCCATGATTCGTCGATCGACAACTTTTAACCAGCTCGCGTATCATCTCGCTCGAGCATTCTACCAACGGAGACAACCGTTTTAAAAGGTCGTATTTCATTCTCCCCAGTCCCCCCGGAAAATATGACGATCTCGAAGAAAATAGTAAATGTCACGGTCGACACGATACCGGAAAGAGTGAGCTGCAACGCGAGTTCGCGGCCGGAGCCTACGTTCCGGTGGTTCCGTGAAGGCTCGACGGACACCATCATGGAGGGCCGGGACCTCGACTTGAAAGTCGCTGTGCCGAGACGCAGCAACGGAACTTACTACTGCGAAGCGTCGAACCGCCATGGAAACCGTAACATTTCCATGATCATGAACGTTCAGTGTAAGTAACGAAACCGTTTGCCGGCCGAAACGAGAGACGCTTTTCATGGCATGCGAATTATCGAGGAAGATTTAGAATCCCAGGATAAAGTGTTTTGTACCGGAAAGAAGCGGCCGTTTTTAAATAAAATGTAATGGCGGGCTGAAAATGTTTGCCGTCTTGCTGGTTTCATTTAGAGACTTCGGGTAATTTCGCTTTTATGCGATACGGTTAGCTGACCCAGGCGGGTTGTTCCGATACTAATCGCTGCACTGGGTTACGCAATGGTAGTTAACCCTTGTACGGCGATGGCCGGGTCATTGCAGACCCCAGCGGTAATATAAAAGACATATAAATATAAGATGTTCCGTGACGAGATTGGCGAACTTCGGCCAACGTTTGCGAACAATCGTTCCGAACCAAACATCTTATTCAATTGTTAAGCTGTTGAACCCTTTTTTTTCAGTTTGGGGGATAATTATGTTAACTCGTTGACCACGACGAGAAACTTCAGTGTTTTGTATAATATTACTTATTTTTTTGGTAACGAAGGAAGATGGTATTGAAATTAATTATTAATGATTTAGTGTCATGGCTTTTATGTTACAGTATTATGTAGTTACACGAGTAACTATTATTTTGATTTGTCACGAATTTTTTTGTAATTGTTTTCGAGCGATTTGAAAGCTCCGACTATCGGATACCACCGGCGGCCAGCATGTTAATACTTTCACTGTCCAGGTCTAATGATCCTTTATGCAATACACGTCCATTAGAAATCAGTAGAATTTGTTATAATATCATGCCAAATTACTTAAACATCGTTCTCACATGTCCAGTAAATTTACGATGCACTTTAAGAGTGTATTTAATATTTAATAGAAGTGTGCATTGGAATTTTATATGATACATGGACACTGAACGTGTCCATAATCAAGAGTGAATTGCAACAAAACGCACAAACGATAGAATAATTTCCATTTTTAGATAAAATAACTTGATTTGTTTCGTAAAATAGACCCCAAACTACCTGTGGGACGAACAACAGTGCAATTTGAGCGGGTTATTTACCCGATTGAAATTTTTAAGTACGCTCTGGGACGCATTATTCCGTTAGTAGTCTAAGCATTAACGCTTTGGCAGCTGCAGAATTTATGGAATCGTTTTTAGTGTAATTAAAATAATTACCGTATATTTATTCAGATAATTGAAATATGTTGGCAGCAAAAGTAGCAGTTTTCGATGAAAGCACATAATATGTATTGACACGTAACCATCAAATCCATGACCTGAAAGCATTTTTATACGCCTTCACATCTACGTGACAGCAACCATCAAAGTGTCAAGATATTCAGTGACAGATAGAAGAAAATGTAAAATATATCGTGATTCTACAATACATGTTAATATAAGATGAAAATCACGAATGAGTAATTTGCAATTTTGATTTTGTAATAAATTCAGTTATTAAAATTTCATTAATATCAATATTTTGATAACATATGACATATAACGACCGACTCTAATTATCGAAATACAAATCGAAATATTGTACTATATAAAATTAATAATATCAGTAACCATATTTGGTAGATGCATACAGAGGGAGCATGTTTACTTCCATTCATAAAACTCGAGGATCTTTAAATATCCCTTAATGATTACAAATCAACAATAGAACTATGTTTAATTATCCCTGAATTGCAAATAAGTAATTAAACGAAAATTATACCCTTCTGATTATGTGTATAGTTTATGTCTATACAATTTTCATCTGGTGTATTATTCGTAACGTACTCGCGTAATTTGTTGATTTTGTCACGGAGCATCTTTCTATATTATTCAATATGAATTGATTAACTTTTAAGATTCAAGGGTTAAAAATTCAACGTTAAAAAGTCATCAGATTCGATAGAATTTGTTATAAACATCAAACTTTTTATTCGACATAAATCGATATTTAAAACGAATATTTTAATATCGAAAATGTTCGAAGAACGTGAGTCTCCAAGTTGACATAAAAAAAAAATCAAATTCGGCAATTTTCCTCTTCACAGTTAAGCCAGAGTGTCACGTGGAAAAGGAACGAATAGACGGCAAGGATTATGTAGTGTGCTCTGCGATAGCTAATCCGAAAGAGACCGATTTCGTTTGGTCTTTGAAGAGTGACAACGACACGTTGGAACAGGTTGCCGAGATACGAAATGGAAAGAGCTATATTCGACTCGATACTTCGGTAACCAATTTCCGAACATACGTATGTGTCGCGAACAACACCATCGGCTACTCCAATCCTTGTGAGCGGGACGTACCAGGTAAGATGAAAAATAATTATTCTTTTTTTAATAATGTTATTACATAGTAAAGGATTACCGATCAAATTAACGTGATCGTTAAGAAGAGAAGTAAAATAAATGAACTAAACTTACTTTGAAAAAAAACATTGGCCTGTATGTCCATTAATTAATAAATGAGAAACATAAAAATGCAAGATCCTCTTTCTCTATTTCGGGGTAATGCAGAATATCGATATAATAACATTAATACTAAAACTACTGTTTTAATTATTTCATCGCATTTACTAAATTGCATAAAAACGGAACACTGTATATATACATCTATGTGATCAGGAATTAAATATGTTTTAAATTGTTATTAGAAATCGTTATTAGAAACTTCGAAAAATTCAAGTTCTTTCATTACATGTTATTTTATAATATCCCGTTAAGTTCCTTACATTTTCGTTTATCGATTTTTCTACGTACATTAATAAAAAATTTCATTCAACAAGTGATTGGATAACAGTGAAATAATAATAATGAAATTACTTAACTGTTTTTTGCCCCACCGATATTTAAAGACCATTAAGAGAGTTTCAACGCGAGCAAAAATCTCATCATTTATCTCTTTATATTGGGTCTTGCATTTAGCACTCTTTTGCTATTTAATTCAAAAGCGTTTATTTAAATAGGAATGAATCGTTTCGCCGTGTCGTAAATGAACCATGGTGCCAACCAGGTTTTAAAACTTACGGTTTAATTATGAAGAAAATTCCATTCCAGCCGCATGTGAATTTTTACACAAAATGCATTCCGCTGTCATGGACATTTTTCGTCCCTTGATATTACATTCCACTCGTAATTCTCGTATTATATTCTGCAGCTATAATTCGTGTGCACACGTCCGGGCTCGAGAATCTATAACCGTGAGATTAAGAGAACCGAAAGCACAAAAACCGAAAGCACAGACTTCTCAAAGTTTTCTGGAAATGTTGTTATAAAAGTTTCCCTGTATTTCGTCTCTTCTGTACACTTTCGAGAAACGTGGAACGTACCCCAGTATTTTATCAAAGTTGACAAAACAACATTCCCATATATCGCCAAACACCGTTTTTGCATATATTCGCTTACCAAACATATTCTCAAAGGTAAAACGACAATAATATCGGTTTGATCCAAAAGTTTTTACGTCTTTTGTGCGTGCGTAACAAACAAATTTTTTTCTTCGAAACAAATAACATCTGTTTTCAAACTGTTATAACGTGTACAAAGGACACCTCTTTCTCCGCTTTTGCTTAGTTTTGGTGTAGCCAGTGAACAGTTCAGAACCCTTCTTTCTATTTCTTAATAAAAGAATGTCAACACTTTTGCATTAACCCAATATTTTCCCTGCTGAATCATAGGATATACTAATATAAAAGAAAACAGAGAAATAATATGTTTTATATTTATTTATAACATTACTTCCGCGGATACTAGTCGAACGAGATATGTAATAACTTTTAAATTACTTATTTCTAGCAAATATTTATTTATACGTTACTTTCAAAATGTCATTAAAAAAACACAATGATCAGAAACTTATAAAATATTTCACGAATGATACATTTTTATAAATTTCCGTTCGTTCGCTGTTTTAATCAATATATCCGAGAAAGTTTTACCAATTTACTTGATCTCTGTACATATTCTACTTTTCGGCTTTTGCTAATGGTTCCATCAAAACTTTCAACAGAAAAATTCAATGAAAATATTTTATTCCTCATTTGAAACTCTTTGGCCTAGAATCATAAAAAAAATTACGGTCATATAATAACTTACTTAATAGTCCCGAAACGCGAACATTAATATTCGTAATTTATTCAAAGTGACGAAAGGAATGAGGTGTCTAAGAATAATTAACTTTTCCATCTAAGGAATATTAAATTCAAATGAAATTATTATCGAACAAAATGAACTGTCGACAAAACCTTTGAGACCGGAACTTTGTTAATAACTCGAATATTATTACACGAGGATTTATTAACGCGAAACGTTAAAGGATTCAAATTATCAAATACATGTGCAACGTATTATTGTTTTACATATTAAAAAATATCTGTCAAAGATCTCTTTATTGTCTGCATCTGAAGTAAGCTTGGTGAAAATTCATGTTTGTTAATTGGATGACCTGCTTTCTTAGTACGATTTAAAACGCGCGTAATACGTATACAAAGAAAATATGAATAAATTGCTTAGGGAAATGTATATATCAAAACGATTAATTTGCATTTGCAAAATTGTAATTGAATTCATAATTACTGTATAACCGTAATATTTAATAGAAGAATACTGTTGCAAATAATTCACCTAAGAAGATAAGAAACATTCTGATGTCTTCATTCTTTCTTAGCTCACCACGGACATCGAAGTAAGTTTTTCCCCGGATCGTTATTTTGAAAATATTTGTAACGAAATTTTCAAGGATCGATCACTTTCTTTTTCTACTATTTAATGAAAAGCAGTAGCATTTTACTTTGTTCATATGTTACAGTATGTACGAAAGAATACGAACAATTGGAATGTTGCTTAGCACCCGATTGATCAATTTATTTAAAAATTTGGTATTTAGTTTGAATGAAAAAGAATACCCTGTGATATTACCTTTCAACGAACGGAAAATCGAGGAATAGAAATTTCAGTAAAATGAGGTTCACGGAATTTTTTATTTTATCAATATTCATGTTATAACTACTACGCTTTCGAAATATTAATTGAACTTTTGTACTAATATTTGATATTTTAGACATAATACTTTTGAGGCTGAAATTGCTTTGAATTTGAGAAATTCTTGTTTCAAATATGCCTAATATGCTTTGCTTTGAATATGTACACGTTTATACAAATTGAAGGAAAGACGAAGTTTCAATATGTTTTGTGCATTTTAAAATTATTATTAACCCCTTGCCGTACAATGACGAGTGAGACTCGTCATGAAGATTTCTAAACTAATTTAACAAGAATCAATGTTGTTCATTACCCACGGATCAAAGCAAACAACTATTTTGCTATTATTAATGTATTATCTTCAAATGAAATTTCCATCTCAAGTAGAATGGAAAATTTTATTGTATTTCTTACAAATTGTCGATAGTAAAATATTACACGAGCTTAGTAATGAAAGTAAATAGTACGCTAAGGGGTTAATATTATCAACTCGATCTTTATTCCAGGCCATATACCTTGGTGGCATCAGCTAGAAGGAAATCTCCTTCTGATCATCATCGTATCTGCAGTTGTCCTTATACTTGTGAAAATTATCATCTGCGTGGTGATTTTCATCGTCTGCAGACGCAAGCGTTGCCAGATGAAATGTAAGTGATTCTTTTAAATGTTTTATAATTATCACTGTGATCTGCAATTTACAACGATTCGCATGACATAGCTTACCTAATGGACTTTCTTCGAGATTTACATACTAATACAAACGAACGAAGTAATTTAAACAAAGAAGAAGAGAAAAGAAAATCATTTAGTTTCCTAATATATGCCGTCACTAAACCTTAATAATTCTTTGATCAAACTGAAAGCTATTTCGCGTAAACAGAATACATCGCTCAGCTTTATAATAATTTCTGTTACAAGCATGCTTACTTATTCAGAATCTAATATTAACGGAAAATCTTGAAGAAGTCCAAATTAAAATTGTGCCATCATTACAAATGAATATTTCACGAACATTGAGCATAATCTCGATAATATAAACTTCAAAGATAACGTTCTACGATAAGTATGCATTACAATAATTATAATACAGAAAAAATCGATGATGAGAGTACTCTCTTAATGATATTGTAATTTCAATTATTGGAAACGAATCTCAAATTACATACCGTTGAAAGTGATACTGTCAATTCATCTTTGGGTTCATTATGTTTTAAAAAATAATTATCTTTCATTATTGTCACAAAATAATTACGTTATTTTAAATATATCTATAAATTCAATACAAACTTATTATTCATGGAAAAGCCTCGAAACATTTGATAACAGGTTTATTGTCATCAATTACGTTATTATAAAGATATCTATAAAGTTCGTAAAGAACTTACTATTAAAAGTTATTATTAAAAACAATTACGTTATTTTAAAAATATCTATAAATTGAATGACAAATTTATTATTAACGGGAAAACTATAAAGCATTTGATAACAAGCTTATTATTATCAGAAAACGACAACTTTATTTTAAACATATCAATATATTTAATAATGGACTTATTATTGACAGAAAAGTTACAAGGTATTTACATTATTGCTCGATCTTTGGTCGCCAAGCGATCCTCGAGACTGCAGAATAAGGAGAACGTCGATTCCAAGTTTGCTTCCAAGTCTCGAAGACCGAAGAGTTCGAGCGTATTTGATTGAGCCGGAGGTGCTCGATTGTTTCGAAACGTTCAAACGTCTCGAGGCGTACGAACTTTAACACACGCGAGCTTCTTCACATTCGAAGACCGTTCGAACTTATTCGGATGATGCGTCATCTACGCAGTACGAACGCGTTCCAATCCACTTGTTCATTAATCAGTCGCTACTCTCAATTAGCCTAAATTATCACATCGAGGAATCTCCTTTTCAAAGAAATATCTAAATACCTGCGTAACTTTGCTAATTACCACTAAGAAAAATATTACATTTTATCAGGACTGATTATTTCATTAAAATATATTAAGCAGCAATAATATATTTGAATTTTTCATGTATAATGATACAAGTTGATCTCATTAAAAATCGTATTATGAACATTAAAACTAAAGAAATGAATGAACAGATTAATTGGATGTATGTAACAGATATTTAAATCATATTTTACTTCGCTTCTACTTCATGATGAAACTTGCACAATTTTAATGATGATATATTTATTCGTACAGCACTAGTAATTATCAGAAATGATTATTCATTTGAAATATATATTAATTCAAAATTAGATTTAAACTTAAATAAATATAATTCTGTGGTACAGAAGCAATTTGGTATGCGCATGAAATATTATTTATTACTTATTATTATAATTATAATTATTAATTTAATTATTTTTAGTAACTATACAAGAATGTGCATATTTTAATTGTGATATCTTCAATAGATCTTCGCACGGAAATTGAAAACATGTAATGCAAACTTGTCGTAAAACGATCTTAAGAAAATCACACTCAATTGATCTCAATAGATTAGTCAGAGAATTCCATAATAATTGTTCTTGCAATGTATCGCAGAAAATCCCCATGACAGGTCATACTCATCCCTTTTTGACACGAGATCTCGTTTCATTGACATTCATGCACTTTACTCGCACCATTCTTGACATTGTCCATTCACAAAATAAAAAGCACACCGTACATGACTATCGACATAACAATTCGCGACATGACAAATATATACACGGACATATCGAGATTGATAACCAGGTCGTAAAATTTGTTATCGATTCGAATTCTTTTCGAGGCCGTTTCAGTAGGTTGTCAATAGTAAATTCTCAAGAGTGATTGTCATTTAAATAGATCGCATGTTGCTTGATTACAGCAAAGTGAAACGCGTAAGCTTGCTAATGTCTGAAAGTAACGTTTAAATGAGAGCCAACGAGCGAGCTTCCGTTGTATAATAAAATCGTTCGTTTTCGAGTAGCATTGCTCCGCGTAGAAACGAAGAAATTTATTAAAAAGTTCTCTACTCAGTACAGTACAAAGGATAAACATTGTGTAAGATATTGAATCATCGTCCGTCATTGAAAGTACATTTTCTATCATTTTGACTGACCGTAGCCATCGAATTTAATATTTCGTATTCGTAAGAATAAAACGATCGACGTATTAAAATATATTTTAAATATATCGGAATTCCTAATACTCATTTTTCAAGCATGAAATCCTAATTTTCTGTTGAATTAAATTTGTTAATAAATGCCGTTAACTGTTACATTATATTGCAAATAAAATTCCCTGTATAATTCATATTATTTTCCGAAATTAACAAGTATCTGTTCAACAATCTTTTATAATTGAAACGAAAGAAATTAAAAAATTTTTCTTTTTCTTTTTGTTTTTTTTATAAGTTTTATTAATACTTTAGAATGTTTACGCTTTATGTAACAAAAATGATGTGAAAGTAATTAGAGTAGCCAGATAAGATTTTCATGCATCGGATTCGAGGTTGTTCAATAAAGAAAAAACAGCTTCGTGACAGAACCTTCAGAGCGTAATTGGATGGCTGCAGTCAGGTTTGCATCAACCATGCACCCGCATACATTACTTTGCGTTGTTATTATCGTTCATGCTAGTTTACAAAGAAAGCATGTCTATTATGTTACGTAATCGTGTAAAGTAGATGGACAATGCGAATTTCCTATTTGGATGCGAAAGACAACTACATATACATGTACAAATTATTAAATATGCGAACCGGTGGCGTGTTGCTGTGCGAACGAGGAAACGCGAAAATTTTATCGATTACCTCCTGGACATTTCGTGCGAAGAACGATCAGCAACAATTTCTTTCGCCGTAAAGAAGTATCGTCATTAATTCATACCGTATACTGAAATATTAATTAACCAGTTAATTTTAATCGTCCATGCAATCGTGCAATCAGTCGACTGATTTTAAATAGCATTTAAAACTAAAGAAACGTTCATTGGATTTCAACTGGCCATTGCTTTCATTTAAATACTTTAACTATATCACTGAGACAGTTTTACTGCCGCGCATTAATGAACATTTAATTTGAACGGGAAGAATTGCAAATGCAGTGAATTATATCGTTTCACCCCATTTAAAGCGTTCAAACGATATTAACGAGATGTTCGAAAGTTTTGCACGCGCCCTTTATCAGTGTTGATTAATAACAGAATATTCTCGTCGAATTTTATCATAAAATTATTGTTCGTTTTAATTATTCCCCTAACACGCGTCTTACTTAATTATTTCACGTTTAATGAATAAAATCCACTTCGCTTCAAATGAAATTGTGCATTGCATTTTTAAACCGATATGCACATACATTATCGATTACTCGCTGGATCGGAATCTGTGCCCATCAAATATTTATACTCATTTCAAACAATTTTCATGCTTTCATTTTACGAATTCCACTTAACACTAAAATTACCGGAAGAATCAAGGTAACCCATTACAGAAATTTTATAATATTTTATAAGTATTTAAATTATGAAGATGTTTTTGCGAAAGATTTTCAATTAAATTTCTATATTTACGCAGACATACGATTAGGAGGCCCTTCGAATCTCAAGACATTGTTCCAATTTTTATAAAAAGCCGAAAATAAGTCACTCTAATTGTTCGGTAGTTTTAGTGTTAAATTCTAAGTGAACACGAACAATATTAAAAATCAAAGGCCCATCTTTTCTCCGCTATCAACTGGAATCTTATCACTACTAAAACACGATCCACAAAGTTCTATTCCTAAAGGACGCTCGCGCAAGTTGACAAACATCGCACCGGAACTCGCGGTCGGCCAAATGAAAATGTTCAGTAAATCTATTTTGCATGCGTGAAACGGAAGAAAACTAAAGAAAATGGGGGAAACGCTGAAGAACGAGGAAAGTGATCGTTCGTCGAGAAACGCGGCTCGCGAAACACCCGGCCCGCCAGAGTTTAACACGATATTCCGGGAAGTTAGCCGGCGTTAATTAAATTCACGCCGTCGTAAACTTCAAACTCGAAAAGAACGTCTCCAATTAAACGTAAGACTTCAGGAGGTTTTCGAGCCGGTAGTCCTCGGGGGCACAGCAGCTGGCACCGGGTCTCGTTTTCGGTAGTTTCTCACTAACACAGAAAAACTGATTCGTTTCTGCTCTACTTTTTAATTTGGACTTGGTAAACAAAACACAGACAGTAATCGGGTGGTCGAGCTGGAGGAACGCGAACAGTAAGTACGAAATACAACGCATCGCCGTTGCTATACTACTATTCTTTTCTTTTCTTTTCTGTTTTCTGTGTACGCTTTCTTTCCTCCTTTTGGTCTGGTCCTCTACACCCTTTCTTTTTCTATTCCATTAATCTCGACTCGTTGGTTGCCTCTCCCTCCTCCGTCGCACCTCCGCCAGGCCGCCGCTCTTTCCGTTTCGTTTCGTTTCCCGTTTGCCCGCCTTCCGTTCGCGCACCAGTTTCTCTTTATTTCACGGAATTACTTTGACTTCCGACAGCTTGGCATTCGCGTCTGCATGGGCTGCTCTATTACCGAAACGTGCTTCTACTTGCCGAAAAGTGACTGACAATTGGAGTTTTCGCTTTATGAGACACATTCGCGAGCACGTCGCACCGGTATGCTAAATAATCCAGTATTGCGGTGCTAACCTCCTGCACGTTGCGTAGGATGTTGTTAGTTGTGTGTATACGTCGGTTGCAGTTTCTTTTCTCGTGAAGATTCAATTAGAACGAGGCTATTAACACGATCTTCGGTGATCTTCGGACACGATTAATCGATCGAATTCACGCGTGTCAGCTTTCACGTGATGCTTTAATTTCCTTTGATTTCAAGAAGATTCTCTTTGGGATTGAAATGATGATAATAATCCCAAATAAGTCGACTTTTTATATAAGATTGTCTTATCTTCTGTATCTTACTGTTACTTATAAATTCGATACGAAAGAATAAAATGTAAATCGGTTTTCGAATCTCTGACATGAGAAAATAAAACTTGAAACGATGCTTAGTTGGTTATCAATAATCACAGCAGAGGAAGAAAACATGACAAATTTTAAATACTTTAATCCCAAGATTGCCAATAAAAAAATGAATCCATGAGTAACGAGAAGTTAATTATAATTTTTTCAATGTTGATTCAACGTGTATCACATTATTCTACGTGGTATACAAATATTTATCGAATACTAACACCATTTAACATTTAAATCGAATATAAAATGAATCGTCCAATAATAAGAAGCAGAATAACCAATAACACTGTTTCATATACTCTGTACAACACGCAAACAAATAACTTCACTAGTAAACATCTCCCCATACTATTTGCCCACGCCTACCAACGATATAAGTTATTCGTGTGATCTTTCTCGTTAGTTCCGAGACAGCGGTGAAGTTTCCGTTTAATCGTGTAAGGTGTTGAATGTACGTATTATTAGGACAATGATTTACCGACTTTATTGGTGTGAGTTCGTGTAACAGCTACCCCCACAATACGTGTAGTGTGCACGAGATTGTCTCTGATCTCCAATCTCACAGGAAGTCTGCACCCCCTCCCCCTCTTCACCCCTCTCTCATTCTCTCTCACTCTGGCGCACAAACACACTCCCTCTTATGCTGCACAGTGGCTGAATGCATGTTCCGTTGTATACTTTAGTGACCACTTCCGACTTATAATAGTTTACTGTCGAAGTCTGCGTAGAGGTAAGGCAGGTAAGGGGTTGCACGTGCAAATGTATAGGGGTGGCGTACAGTTCTTTGTTATTCGAATGTAGCACTGCCGCGGTTGTTGCATAATTTAGGGTATGATTAGTTACGCTGGCCGATCTCCGTTACAATGGTCCCGGTTCTATTCCGGCGCAGCGACAATTTCCGAGGTGAAAGGTAGGTGAAGGGTTGCATGCCCGATGAGTGGAAAGCTCTCTCTTATTGAGTTGGCTGTCGTTCAAGTCGTGACCTGAAATGGAGAATCCTTTCGATTATATGAATTTTTCGGCTCCCCGCTCTTGACTGTCGTCGTAGGAATGTTTAGAACGTTCGTTAATCATATGCGAGGTTGCATGATAAATAAACATGAGTATAACGATTATGGAAAGTGTCGGATCACGGGGAATTCAGTAGGTCGAGAAACGTGGGAGTTCTGATCGATAGCAGTGGGTCAAGGGACTGTTTTTGTACTCGATTTGCTGCAAGGACTTTATGCAAAATGGCAGTGTATCGTGCAAAGATATGCTTGTCAACACCAAACGTACCGTAACCGATTAAATAACCGTTTTTAAAATTTCATTTCAAATTCTGCGCTCTTCTTCGTTCATTTAACGTTATCAATTCTCATATTGCTCGATTAATCAGGTTTTCAAGTTTCCTCTTCCTTTTGTTTTTATTTACATTGAGAAAGATTTATCGTCTAACTTGTTTACCTTTGTTTCGTAACCAATTATTCGACCGGTTACAGTAGGAATAGATAATTATATAGAGTACTGGTATGTTTAGCGTTAAGAAACGTTGATAGTTTAGGAAAAGAAAGCAGAAAGTATGGAAATCTTGTGATCGAGGAAGGATTTGTGAAAAAACGGAAGTGACGTTTAAAGTAATGTTTATTCGCAATTTAAATCAGTTTTAATTGTATCCTGTGCTGTTGAACGTATTATTGCTTCTAAAAAGTAAATATTGTAGATCTAAAAGTAAATGTGTAGATGGAAAGAAGGAAAATAAAAAATCTTACTTACTTAAATCAGTGACGCGTTGGATTAATTACCTTTAATGCGATTAATATTCATATACGATATTCGATTCATCGTTTACGCGAAAATGGCTGTATTTTCTGATAAAAATACAATAAGGTTTCCACTCTGCCGATTTTAACGCAACAAGTTTCACTTGCGCCGTTCCTACCGATTATTCAAGGAACAATTTGCATTTCTCTCGCTCACGGTGTTCCCCCGGGAAAAGAAAAATCATTAATCCAAACTGTTCGAGTACCTGAAACGTTCGGCGCCGTTCACAAGAGCATTCAGATTCGATCAATCAAACAACTGCCTGCCACAATATTTCGAAATTGAATAGAACGCAAAAGAAATAAAGGGGATATTCTGGAAATACTTGGAACGCGATCCGATTGTCCCAAAAGTTTAATTAAAAAGTTTCAAAGAGCCGGCGCACAGCCGGCGCGTAACGTTCAATAGATTACTTTGTACGGAGTCGGGCAGAAAGCAATCAAAAGGATTCTCCTCTTCAATTTTTATCTTGGGTAGTAACCTTTTTTAAGTGCTGTGTCCATATTCTCCAGTAGTGTTATTCGAACGTCTTCGGGAAGCTCGGGACAAATGTCTGATCAGCAGAAAGTCGATATCGTCCCTTCGGTTGAAGCGGAACGAAACGAGCGATCCTCCTTATCGTACAGTCGTGAAAGATTGAAAGATACCTCCAAGATAAATGTCTTTCATTTGCAATCTCGCGCCGTTCCCGGTTTTCCTCCCGAGCATTCAAGTTTTAATGTTTTAATAGCCGAGCAACGGAGGACCAACGATTTATACCGGCAGCGGCAGCCTCATCTCCACTGCTATTTTTACTTTATCGATTCCAATAGGAATTTACTTCTCTCGTGTCCAAGTGAAATGCATTTCTTCCGATAATGGGGACTGCACGCTCTCTGATTTGGCAGTTTTCGAGAATACTAAACGGAGAAGATTGTGTTACGAACGCTGCGAAACGGTATTTTTCAATTATAAACGGGAATATTTCTGCTGATCAAACATTACGGGATCGGAAGGATGTGATTCTTTGGTATGTGAGTCGAGTAATGTGACGCAATGGATCAGTGATTAATGCATATCGTACGATCGATTCGTATGAATAATACATCTGCGGCACACGTTTGAAGTATATTGCATTCTGTATATTATTTTGTAATTTTGTAAATTCTTGCATGTGGTCTCTGTATTAATTGTTACTTTGAGATTAAAATAACTTTTATTCGAATCGGCAGTGCTGGGAGCACGATTCGTTGCGTCGCATCGAATTACGTTATAAATGTTTTTGTTTTAAACTTCTGAGTGTAGCCGCTGTCCTCCCGCAAAGAACTCCTCATACTTTCTGAACCACAAGTAATTAAATTCCATTAAATTACATTGCCGGGAATTATTCGGTCATGCTGGAATAAAAGGCAGTTTCCGAAGAACGCTGTTTGCACTCGGAATATTAAAGCAACTTCGACTGTAAATATGGGAATATTAGATTTACCAGAGGTATGTCGTACTTATTATGTCTAATAAGCAAAAGTTATTAAATATGGAAAATTAAATGAGACTTTTCGATGTTGAAAACAACAACGTGAGATTCCATTTTGTATGGGAAATGTTTTAATGATAATATTATGTTCAAATGTTAATACGCAATTCGTTTCAATTTTTGAGATAGCCGTATTAATTGCGATGTACATCTGAATCGATTATTTTGAGAACAATGTGCCATTGAAAAGGAATTAAATCATAGTGATGTCAACGAAAGGATCGATGTAACAAATGAAAAAATTCCATTCATTAAAACCTTCGCTTTTCCTTTTACTTTCTTCGCATTCGTAACACACACATCGAAGTACTCAGAAATTTGTTAGATTGTGTAAATACCCTTTGAAAAGAGGGTAGTAATAAATAAATGAAACAGATAATAAGAACATTCTGACAAATTTAAAAGCATCAAGTTTTGCGAATATTGCCACGTAGAAACATTCAATTTTTCCGTGATTTCACATTTTATAAAGAAACATTAAGATTTTTCTATTACACAACAGGATAACGTTTCAACGTCACAAGTAGAAGATTATTTATTAATTATTCAAAGAAAAAAACATTGTAGGCGACCTGTTATATGCTATCATTAATCATCGTCTTTCAGTTGATTAAAATATTGCTCAGCTGTCAACTATAATAACTATCTTCAACAATGTAAGTGGTTGATTAGTTCATTAATCAGAGACAGCTATCAGACAGTCACAATTAACTATTCCAAGTTGGTTCTTTCGTTGACTCACCGCACAGTGTGTCCACGCTTGAAAGTAACAGAAAATTATTTTCTAAAGTGCCAATATTACATTAAGCATTATTAAACATTATTTTTCAACGGAAGAAATTTAGTGAAACATTCTATAGAAATATACATATTCTATAAATTCGAACAAATGGAAGGCTCAGTAGTCAATCAGTGCAAGTCACATTTTCATTTTATATACTGTAAGAGTTTTTATTGTTCAAACTTTGGATTGCTAAAGCAATTGAAGGCATTACATGCAAAGTTAAATCTCAAGTAAGGAGACAGTAAATTTGCATTGATAACTGAAAGTTTTAACAATAAAAATCCTTTTTAAACGATCCAAGTAAAAATGAGACAGCAATCGACTTCAGATCCCTCCAAACATAACCTCGCAAACTTTCCTGCGATCAACACTAGATTTACGGATGTTTACTGTACAGTTTATTTTATCGTTCTTAAAAAATTGATATTCGTTTATTTCGATCTTAGGAGTTTAAAAGTGGATAACTAATATACAAGGTCGATCACGAAGCGTGATTAACTTTGATTATTCTGCTGCTAGCGGTTCAATCGGAAATATCGTTGGCTAAAATAACATGTGGTTCAAGGTGAGTTTTAAGATAACTTTACCAAATTTTTTGTCAACCCCTTTTTTCAGAGTTATCAAGGTTACTTTCAGTACACACAGGTCACGAAACACTATTAATAATCCACGTTCAATATCATTTAATGTGACTCAAGGTACAGAACGAAATGTTTACAAACAGTACACTAGGGATCAAGTCAATAACGGACTAATACTAATCTACCAACAGGACTAAAAAATGTACAACAGTGTTGCATGCTGTTCCCTTTTAAGAATCTTTAAGAATCTCGTAAAATTCTTCCAATTAAAAGTTTTCGTCAGTCTTTTTAGGTTTAGAAAAAAATATTTGTTATAATTTGCTTCGAATTCGTCTCAGTATTCCCAAAAAAGATCAGTGTAAAAAATTGTAGATTTACCTATAGAAAACTGAAAGTGACCTTGATAACTCTGAAACAAAGGGATTGATAAAAAGTTTGGTAGAATAATCTTAAAATTCTCCGTGAACCATGTTATTTTAGCTAATAAAATTTCTGTATAGTCAACTAGCAGACAAAATAGACAAACATTTACCAAACAATGTTTATAAAATTAAATATGCGTTAAGTTGACTCATTCTATAAATCTAGTGTTATTCACTTTCGACGATAATGTCCTGTAACCACGAATCGTGGACACACATCAGTAGACCTGAATCTGGTGTGAAACGTGATCGTTGCACAGTCCAGACGGCGGGCCACCGAGTCCAACGGTGTCCTCGCACTCGGCCCAGGTTCCGGTGCACCCGACACCAGCGCCAAGATGGCCGCTGAAACCCGGTGTGCTGGTGCACATCAATCGGACCCATAGCCTGCGGTCGGGTCTTAGCGTTCGCAATAGCGAGTCCCTGCGAAACGAATTGATCGGCAGACAGGCCGACGTGCCTGTGACCGATCGATTCCTGATGGAAGCGACAATCACCAAAGTGCCGGCCAAAGTGTTCCGCCGGCGGAGGGAGACCGCGCAGAGGAGCCTGACTGTGACCTCCCTGAACGATGAGGGTATGCTTGCCAGGGCTAATAAGATTAAGGCCATGTTTGGAGTGCAACTTAAAGAACAGGCTACTTTGCCCGGTATTTCTAGGGAAAAGACAGGTAAGTCTGCTGAGGATACAGGGACGAGTATCGCTTTAATTTGTGCATGCCTGAGACGTGGACACTTGAACCGTGTCGACCTTTTACCCAGGGTACGACGCGCCACGCGGCTAATCCGTTAATTTGTTCGACCCTAACTCCGAGCTGCAGACTGTGGCAGTCCCGCGTGACGAATTAAATGCATTGATATAGTACTTTCTTTTTGTTATGGTTTAACCTCCTAGCTATGAATTATATGAAAAAATAGCAGTTTTTGTATAACGAACTGATTTTTTTATTTAAATCTAGTGTTACTTTTAATTTGTTTCGCTTTTGCGGTAGCTGTAGGTACTGTGTTTGACGAGTCAATTGCCATCGCGTCCTTTTAGGGACACAACGTTGATCCATACTTTTAAACAAGGTATCACCATTACGAGGTTAGAGGACACTTTTGATGTATGATACCGTTCGTAACTTTCTGCAGCACAAACTGTTTAGGAAAGGTTAAATTGAAAGTGATACAGTTGGGTTTACACTATTTTGATACTGGAACATTCACGTGCAACAATATGGTTAATAAACCAATCATGCAATAGAATATAATAGATCGCAATATTCTCAATTCCCATTTCGATGATTTCAGGTTTACTATACTTTATATTTCAGAATAATATGGCAACGGTATTTATTACGATAATACCAATCTCGAAGTTAATGCATTTGTAACTTCTTTTTATCAAAAGCAAAGCACATTAATGCATCCAGCGTAACGGAAGGAGTCACAACAAATTGCAATTTGTCGCACAATTTACACGTTGCAATTGCATTATGTTCAGCTGCAGTGCTGCCGATACTCATTGAAGTATGCCGAATATTTGATAATGCTGAGTGTATTAAAGGGATTCGATGCTCGTTCGTACGAAAAATTGCGCAATTTCGTGTATCAATTCGCGAACGATAAAAGCGGCCTCGGTTGATCCTTTGTAACGAATTGCCATTAATTTCGCGATTATAGCGGTTAGTGTACAATAGCGTCGTTCCGAAGCTTGCAACGCGGAATATTTAATTACGAGAACGAATCCGCGCGGGGGGGGTGGGTCTTGTGAAATATAAGGCAATCGCACGCGATAGGTTTTACGTTGATCGCAGATTTCCCGATCATAGAATACTCCGCATAAATAACCGCGTACACACTTTTCCCATTTAATTCGTTCTCATTCGAATTAGTTACGACACGTTCGATAGCTTCGACTCGGCGTCCATCGCTCGGAGGCTCACGCGGAACCTATTAACTTCAATCATCGCGAAGTCGATGAAATTGGGTATCAAAGTAACGCTCGCGAATCAGAGGAAAAAAAATGATACGACATAAAATTCAACAGGTTTTCAATAAAAACTTGTTTGCACGGGACTTGCTTTATCCTGATACATTTTACAGCGCGTTAATGCTTCATCGGCAGTTACTTGCGTGTTTCTTTTTCCTTTTTGTTTATAAAGTTCATTCGTCATGGGAGCAACAAATCCGGTAACGTAATCACAAAGGTACGATTTATATCGGATATCGAAGTGTCCATAGAACCGATTTTGCCTGAACTTTACTTCAGGGCACCATTTTTTTTAAAACTATTTTTACATTTATTGATAGTGATTGATGAAGAAATTTTATGATGTCTAAATTTTAAGTTTCAGGTTTAGGAATTAGTTCACAAGTTATACGTATATAAAGTTAATGAATAAATATCACTATATAATAATATAGGTCGATTTTGATGATTCTGAAATATGTTGTCAAGGTTATTATTTTGAACGACTTTTTCCTCGGTGAAAACCAGTGTTTTCTTTTAGTTTTCAAAATGTTCACAAGAAACCAATAAAAGTTTAAACTAGATTTGAAATGTTCCCGAAGAATTGTATGCAGGAATCGTTATGTAGGTGAATGCAATAAATTATTGTCAATGTGTCGCACGTAGCAGGCAGCAGCACGGAGAAAAATGCTTTATGTGTTCCGTGTAATTGCTTCTTTTTTGTGTGTTTGTGTTTTTGTTTTTGTCTTAGCTGTGACTTACAAAAGAATAGCGCCACGGCAGAGGATATTGCATGCGGAATCGTCGTGCGAATTGAATCGGGGCAACGTCTCCCGTAAGCGAAAAAAGCCGGGCGCAGGTACGTAATATCTAGTGTGTAACGTGTGCACGGATCGTGCGTGAACTTCCGTCAGCCATTAGAAACGAACTGCTCCAACTCTGATGCGATGATATTTAGCCGCTTCGTGAATCGGACACTGTATCACAGCTCGAAATGTTTGCACGTACAGGATTGCTATTGAAATACTGCAATGACTAATACTCTTACTATCTAGAAAATTTATAATCGGACTGCGGATCATTATGCATATTCGAAATTTTCGCAATATAATTATAACAATAGAATTATTATATAAAAAGGTTCTTCTTAATGAATGTTATAAAAAACTCTGCACTTTATACGTTTCATATATTTTCTGGTACTGTGTGCATTTTGTGCAATTTTACACTATCGAATTTTTTATAAGTGCATCAAGATACGCAGTCTGTAATTATTTCTTTTAAACGATCTATGAATTGAGGGCTAAAAATTAGAAATAACGATGGTAAATTTTTTTTCATTAAGAACACTCACACTCGGAGGAAGGTAGTTTAATAACAATATGTAGAATAATTCTACAGATTTTATATGCGAAGTATTTTACTCTTAATTATAGAGTGGAAATGAATTTATTCAGTGTCAGTGAAGCTTTGTTATAAATCCTGAACGTAGAAACATTCCTATGCAAATAATACGCACGGTGTGTTTATACATACGATACGAGGACACTTTTAATTACAGAGTTTCTCGTTATGCACCGTGGAAATGAAAAATCTACGTTATTTTTATGAATGCAGATATTAAACGTAATTCATCACGTTAACGAAATCACTAAAATAAATCAAAGATGGATGTTAATACTATAAATTGCAAATTACAAAATCACGAAAAATGAGAAGATTATATGAACTAATGATCAGATCAATTAAAACTACTTTTTCCACATTATTAATAATGGTACCCACATCTACACTTTATATTACATGAAATATATTTACAAAAATTATTTACCTTTAATTCTCCCCAGATTTAAAGAAAGATTAGTTTACATTTTCAATTAACGTTGCTCGAAATAGTATAAAGTGTATGTTCAATAATTGACTCACAAAATATACGAATTTTAAGGTTCGGCAATTCCTCGAAGTGTAAATTAATTTGTGAGAGAGAAATTGGACACTTCGTCTCCACTCTCCGTCTATAAAAGACCTACACAGCCAGATAAAGGCATCAAGATCATACATTTAGATACCTCGTGTAGTCGTGCAGTTACAAGAATAGATATATGATCTAGTTCTTCACTTGTGATAGCGTTTACAATTACACCCCCCGCGTCGTCGGATAAATTGTATCCTTTGT